GGGAGAGAACTATTTATAAATTCTAAATCACCCAAAAACACAGTCAGTTATTTATTCTTTTGATTCCACGATCTCTTTCGAAAAATAGCTTATTAGTGCACTCATGATATACAAGCTCAGATACTGACGGTATAGCATTCCACAAGACATGAAAGCCAACCAAAATACTAGGGCTGTCCCAAATTTAGGGTGAACATGACCGTAACTCAAATACTAAAGCACCGAAGGTTGATTTATAAACGCTGAACAGCAGCTAATGTAACGCATTGCATCTTCCCAAAATTGCAACACCATCCTTAGGAGCATTATTGAACGGTTGTTGAAAAAGGTGGTTACCATCATTGAAAAGAGGTCAAAGTGAGGGGTTAGATGTGTTATAAAGTTTTCATCGCGAAATGGAGAAATCCAGCTACAGTGAAATTCGTCTCAACTTGTTTCTGTATATTATGGTAATAAGAATAATTAATTAATAGCAGTTGCAAAGAGCTAATTTCCCCTCAAAAGTAAGCTCCTCGGCATTTTACAATCTATATTATGTAAAGATGTATTGACCCCCCAAGCCCCTCCCAACAATACAAACAAACGAACAATCAAACAAACAAATAAACCCGTAAAACACGCAAAAAACAAACAAACAAAAAACAAGCAAACAAGCAGGCAAACAAACAAACCAGTAAACAAACACAAACAAAAAACAACAACCAAATAAACAAACAAAATCATGTCTATCAATGGTTCAAGGTGTTCAGACAAAGGGGTTCACATCCTGAAGGTGATTTTTGAGTTACTGAGACCATGGGATCAGAAGCCAAAAGCTGTAAATATATTAGCTCTTTCAAAATCGTAAGATTATTAATTTATTTCGAGTCGTTATCAAGATATTCAACGAATGGCATTCGAAAAGACTTGGCATATTATTATGGTGAACCTCAAATTATTTTTTACGTCAATAATTTCTCAAAACTAGGTACTGAGCAGATAGCACTTTGCAAGGTAGCACTGTTTTTAAGTGCAGATAAATCCCCAGTACCGTGCATTGCGGAAATGTTCACCGAAAACAACAAAGATGTGTGTGGCATTCTGTTTACGTTAGACGTGTCACAGATGTGTAATAATGTAACAGGTTTTACTCGAGTACTTGTGCAAGGGATGAATACACTAGTTCTGAACAATACCTATAAACGTTTACCTCGTAGAGAGAGAGAGAGAGAGAGAGAGAGAGAGAGAGAGAGAGAGAGAGAGAGA